TGCAAATATTATAAATAAAGAATGGTAACTGATATAAAGTTTAACAACGTATCCAACGAGTTCACAGCCCATTTTTGTAACGAACCGTAATCATTAATCTTCGAGTGTTAAATATAAGAAACACAATCTTGCTTAAAAAAAAAAAAGAAAAGAAATATTTTTGGTGAAAATTTATCCGCGTTCTCAAAGAGAATCGTGATGATCCCTTTGTAGTGAAAATGTAAATTGGAACTAGTCTGATCACTTCCTACATATCCAACAGCTTATCACACAAAGTGAAAAACATGGCAAGATTAACGTTATCGTAATTACATTACACCGTTATTTACTTGAAAGAGTAAAAGACCTAAAAGTTAAAAAACTACTCACTAATTAAACGTATATATGTCACTCGGGTGCTGACTGAAATTCTTGGAATTCCCTAATTCCAGTTCGTGTTATAGAAAACGAATGATATTAATCTTCAAATCGAGAGACTGATATAACATCGCTACATCGTAAATTGATTTTAAATATTTAAACGCTTGTCACCTCTTTAGCATCGTGCCGTTTATAAACAGACTGTACATTATACGATAGTATATCGCTAGGACTCAGAAGTACTCTCTAACAATATCAGCTAACGATGCACGAAACAAATCGTGTTACTTATATATATAATATATGATATTCACATGTCACTCACACACACATTTAACGCTAAATGGGCTGGCGTTTTAACCCATTCTACACTTATATAGCTGTAGTATACTTTAAACATCTGATTGAGAAGATTTTCCCATTTAGCCCGTTTCCTTTATACTATAGAAAATACGTGGAAAATCTTTTAAGAAAAGTAATAATACTGCCAAAAACATTAATGATCATTTGTATAGGTTGAAAAGGGTCCAAAACTTTGTAAGTATTCGATAAAAAAAATTTTCATCATATTTTTTAAGAATATGTCATATATATTAAAAAACAAGCTTAATGTAGACACAATAAATGCCAATAATCTGTCTAAGTCGCCAACAAATTACTGTTAACGTTTTGCTTTCTAAATTAATAATACTTTATGTGACACTATTTTATATATAGAATAATAAGAAAGGATCAATTTCAGTAAAAAGCAATGTCTGGCTTCCTACATAAAATAAAATGCAAGTGAATCATCTGTATTGTTAAAACAAGAAATCGTGTCTATCTATGATATAAAGTTAATTTTTTCAACTATGATTATTTCTTGTTTCTCTAGTGAACATCCTTCAAGTTTGAGACTCTTTCTTCGAATATCCTGTATAAATGATTTACGATGATCTCATATAACAAGATGCAAATACCATTCATCTCGATTATCTTTTTACATACCTCACAGTTTTGATGTTCAGAATTAAATTTACCTGCAGGCACAATTTAAATTTTAATAAAAATATCCCTCATTTTTTTAACTGCTCCATAACATATCCACGGCCAAAGTCGGAGGTGGAGATATTTGCATGCTTTGTGAAAAAATTAGTTTAATCACTGGATCTATAAATAAAAAATAATTTTGTTAGAGAATCTCAGACACTACATGCTTAAGATGTTCTAAATTCTCATATTGTAAATTCTTGTATGCAATATTAGTTCGTCTTCGCAACGCACATCTAGCGCACATATTGTACGTAAAAAGAGAACTTACGTTGTACGATAAAAACAATTGTTCGTGTCCTAAAGGAGATTTCTGAGTCCCTGCAATTATTTTATTCCTAAAATGTAAATAATAAAATAGTTCGAGCATGGATTAATATGTAATCATGATGAAGATTTACTACTAGAGGCTTGAAAAAGTCAAGCGTTAAATGATTCACAGCATCTGTTTGTCCATTAATCAGTCGCTGGCTTTGTTCGCTGATCTAGGGGTCCCCTAACGATCCTTTGGTCTAAGGCTACTTTCCACGTTATTACTATGCGCCTTTATATTTTAATGACAATATCAAACTGCTAATCACGCTTCTCAGATAATTAAGAAAACTTTTTGCAGTTTTCAGTGTAAAGCATAAAGAATTAATCAAAATAAAAGTAGAGTGCATATAAAGTTAATATATCTTAATGAACCAAATTTTATATCTATGCATTGATTCTATAATTTAAATAATTTTATTAATGTAAAATGCTGAAAAAATTATATTCGACTTAAAACGATTTAAAATAAACGTTCTTTTGTGAATAAATATAACTAGATTTATTTTTCGTTTAATTTCAATATTTTATATGGAAATAATCTTTAATAATATTAATATTAATTATGAGATAATAATATTAAAAGTTATGAAGATATAAAAAAAGGCAAAACTCAAATACTTGCTAAAAAGAAATACATATTTAATTAGTCGAAAAATCTGTTTAAAAAAAGAAGAAATAGTATGGTAGTTTTTTAATATTTTTATACATTTTTATATTAAATCATTTCTCTCTCATGATCTAATTGTAGGCATAAATTTATCGCGTCTTTAATCGTATCTTCTACTTTTGCGTTCCTCTAATATGGCTATTGACGATGGAACCCCTTGCTAAAAAATTCTAATATTAACGCATAGATTATGCCATGTTCCTAGCATACTCGTGATCGTGTATGTTTCTATTTCAATTATAGTATATCGACTCTACAATCACATTTGCATTTACGAAGTGCGTTTTGCGAGTCATTGTGCGTCATTAAATTGTCAAACTGTTGGTCTCGTGTCCCATCTCGATCAGAGAAATCTCTCTATAAACCGCTACTATCACGTTGCGGTGAGTTGTCGGCTCTCGCATGTATCAATCCATTCTCGAACCATCTGAAGACACCAATGCCCGTGTCCTAAATCTTATCTTATTATTATATTTGCTGCTAATCCATCCAATTCTTTCTTTTTAGGCATACCTGAAGGGAACGTAAGATACCAGTTGTAAGTTAAAAGCTAAAAAACCAGATTAAGTGAGTCGTCATAAAAAAAACTATTGCGTATAAATAAGTGCGTAGATGTACATATTATTTATAAGCGCCTTAACGAGTACAACGTGTGGTGTAAATTTTGTTCAGTAATATCAGTTAATATAAATTTATTAACAATTCAATAATAATAAATTTTTTTCACTATTTTTGTGATCAATCTTGGTATCAGATTCTAATTTTAAGCTTAAATTATCATCTAAGCAATAGACTAAGTTCATCTCACTGATATTTTTCGTTCGTTTTAAAGTTCATTATTAGTAGACATCTACGTTTCATTCATGCATGCCCAAGTTATAATAACACAGTTCAACAAAAATTAATTTTGTCATCCAAAGGTAAGAATGTAATTATTCCCATAGTTTTTTCTTTCAAATTACATTTCTTATCTCCGAATATCTTGTCATGTCAATTTTAAGATATGTGAGCTGTGAAGTATAACACAAAAATGTAAAAAAAAGTATTTCAATAAATTTTATATCATATAGTTATAGCGTGTAATTTGTTTGAAATGGTTATATCGTTCAGTTATTGTTAGAACTTTTAGCCTTTAGTTTATATTTTTCTAGAATTTTTTATATGTGTGAATTCTGAAATAATATAAGCTTTCTCATTCTATAATTTCCGAAGAAAACTGATAAATTCTGAAGAAGTTTAAGAGGTATTTTTTCAGAAATTTTTTTAAATTTAAAATATAGAAAATTCTTAATAATGTTATGAGATATGAGAATTTTTTTTAACCAGAATACTTTAATTAAATATTGAGATTCATTAATTGTAACAGGGAAATTATTAATTAGCAAAATCTGCCTTAATTTTGAAGAGAAAAATTTTTTAGCATGTTATATATGATAATTGTAACATGGAAAATTATACTAAAAAATTCTCTTTTATTAAATTGATCTTAAGTTTCTTAACACTGACATGACAAAAATATAAGGAATAATTTCCTTTTCTGAGAATATTTTTGTTGAACTGCGTAATAAGGCTAATCGATAAAAAAAAATCGGATGGCTATATTCAGTGTTAAATGTATGCGAGAACACGGGTCCGATATTCGCCACATTGATTCATATGAGTAAACACAAGTAGATCGGATATCGGGATCGAATATACAATTATATACGGTAAGATGGGTTAATATCGACACAATGACGAAATAGTAATAACGATTTATAATTTAAAAAACAACAATATTGTGTTGAGATACATATGATATGGTTACAATGGATAATGCTTTCATTTGATATTATACAGAAAAACGATACAAATTAGAATATTCAATTCTTTAACATAGAAAATTAATTTTTTTCATAGTTTTAATAATTTTAATTGAAAATTATATGGTAAAAAAAAAATTATTACATTTTAAAATAAAATATACATATTCTATAAAAAAGTAGATTTACTTTAGGAATATTCTATATTTGAATTTAATACAGAAGAGAGAAAAGCTAAAAGATTTTAATATCAAAAATTGAAAAAACTTACAAATAAGAAACTTGTAAAGAACTTGCGTTGTCAATTTCACGTCGAACAAGAGTTCACTCTCGAATGTTGTGTTTACTATCTCGATATTGTATTAATTTATATTTACTTAATAGCGTTTTCGGCCCGGCCAGGTTTGCACCAACCTGGGTTGGATTAATGGCGTTTTGTGCTCTCCTATTGGTAGAGCGGGTGACGTCAACCAATAGGAAAGATTAATCCAACCCAGGTTGGTGCAAACCCGATCGGGCCGAAAACGCTATAAGATAGCTGTTATAATTGAAAAAACAAACATTAAAACGTATATCGACAATTCCATTGTTGTTCTATACACAACAGCTCTACAAACAACAAGCATTACAATAGTAATTCATTGTGTCGATGTTATCCTACCTCAGGGTGGACACACGAATCACATTTTTTCAAATTCTCAAATTTTTCAAATAAGAGAAACTTCGTTTTCCAAGGAAACATTTCAACCATGTTTCCTACATTGAAATACTTAACTTTAATTTTCTATTAAATCTCTGAAGATTTAAATAACTTTTTTTTAGGCTTTTATACAAATAAAATCGAGAGAGCTCGATTTTCAATATTTTTACTAAATCACAGGAACTTTTGGCTCTTCCTGCATTTTAACAATTAAGGAAAACCTCTGTTAATTTTTCTAGAGCGTTTCCCAATCCACGCGAGAATATTTTCCGGATTCTCAGAGTACATTGAAAACGATTGAAGAATCTCGGATCTTCTATCGCGTAACCACCCTGCATCTTAAAATATGAATTATGAAGTCAAGAAATGTAACCATCTCAGTTTTCGAAGTAACGTCGTTTCAGACATTGAAATTCGCTTACATTTCACAACAATCCTCCATTTAGCATGGTGCGCGGCATAAAAAGGGTGAAAGGCACAAAGTAAAAAATAAATGATTCAGATTGGCTCAGGCACATGTCGAGTCGGAGAGCATCGTACCATGTGACAGGACAGGTACGACGATTGGGCCGGAACGTCGATAAACGCCGGAACAACGATCACGCGATCGTCGAGACCCTCAACATCGAAGACTAGCCACACTGCTCCCATTAGCGTATCAAAAAGGAAATGTACTTGGTACATTTAGATAAGAGTTTGTAACTCAGAGTTTACAGTATTCCAAACAGAGCATCCTGAACAAAACAAAAGCTTGGCAAGTTTCTAAAGTTCCAATTTAAAATTCGACTGAAAGTCAGAGGCATTTCTTGAGTACTTAGAACATCGTTTAGACACTGCTATTTGTCTAACAGAGCTCTAACATTAAGACATTTTTTGAATTTTGTGTTGTCATTATCATATTTGTCATTTGCTTCATGTAATAGACACAGAAGTTAAGAACGCTTTTATGTTACCTGGACAGTCTCTTGTATTGTTCGTGCTCTGATTTGGAATTGACAGACCGATTGGAATATTGACTTCCGTTCTTCAACCAGGCAGTACACAGTGTGTCTCCATGAGATAAGGAGAAAGAATTGAAATCTCTCTCGAGATAAAGTCTGCCGCGAACAATTGTTCTTTTCTAGAAACGCTCATCTATTTCCCGTACTCTTCGGCGAGTACCGGTGAAATCGTTTCACGCCCGAATAACTGCATCAAGAATAAATCCATGAGAGGCACTCACACGAAGACACCTCAAGGACGCAGTAGCGAATGCCAGCGTTGCACTTGTATCGGTTGCCTCGCCGTCCGCATGTCGTTCCAATGCTGTAGCTCTTCAGATCCGGAGCTGTTCAGACCCAAACAGAGCCAGCCGATCATTTCTCGTCCTTTCCTACCCATTCCACCTCGTCGACGATTGTACACAGAGAGGTAAAGTGTCACGTCTCCCAATTGAAACAACGCGACCTGTTCAAGAAAAGCTATATATTATTTAATATAATTAAATTTTAAATACTACGAAACTTTCGTTAACCCTTTAACTGCAAAGTGTATATACATCGCTTGTAAAAGATGTATATACTTAGCTGAACTTGTCAAGAGTATGTGAATACTTTATATTTAATGATACAAGTTGTTCTAGGCCCTACATTATCACATCATAATGGCAAAGTATGTTTCATTTCTGCTATATTTCTGTTGTAATATACTATAGTAAATAATAGTAAAAACCAGGGAATGGAAGTAACTCGTTAC